GAAATCATCCAAACTTTAGTTGGAATAATAATCAAAATTACAACATTAATTGGAACTTTAACCACCTATACTAAGTAGGACTTGGGATTCCCAACATCAAAATTTGCCAACCCAAGGCCTAATTATCTTTCTTGATTTAGCTCAAATAACAAACTTAAGAATAAGAATCCTTCATTAGAGGAATTAATTTTGGAAATGGGAATGCAATTTAAACGTCAAGCTACTACCATTAGGAATATTAACAACTAATTAGGACAACTAGATGGATCTTTAACCAATAAACCCAAAGAACTTTACCTATTAATACAAAAATTAACCTTAAAGAAAAAGGTAAAAGATAATGCAAAGCTATTCCATTGAGGAGTGGGAAAGAATTAGAGAGTGTGACTAAGAGAAAGGATTAATATGAGGAGGAGGCTATTGTCAAAGAACTAGTAGAGAGCCCTAGATTTAAGGAACCACATCAACCTGTAAAAGAAGTAAAAAAAAAAAAAAACTATTAGAGAGGTAGTTTAAAGGCCACCACGATCATTTCCTCAAAGATTGTTGAAAAAGAATTTGGATAATCAGTTCTCAAGGATTTTGGAAATCTTTTTAAAAAATTAACTATTAACATCCCATTTGCAAAAATCATAAAACAAATGTCCATCTATGTTAAATTCATGGAAGAAATCCTTGATAAGAAAAGAAGATTAAGAGATTTTGAGACTCTTCTATTGACTAAGGAATGTAGTGCAATTCTACAGAAGAAACTTCCTCAAAAGCTTAAAGACCCTAGTAGTTTTGTCATTTCTATGGTTATAGGGGATAAATTTTATGGTAGAACACTATGTGATTTATGAGCTAGTATCAATTTAATACTCTTGTCCATATTCAAAAGACTTAATCTAGGCTGTATAAGTGAAGACACTGACTTGTAAACAAATAACAGGAACCTGGATGCTTCTTTCCATAATGAGTACATTTTGAATAACTATGGGTAGGTGTTATTGGTCCCTTCATGAAATCACTAATTGATTCTTCTTCTTACTATTATTACCTTCAGTTACTTCTTATGTTGGCCTTTCTTGTTGAAGTCCTCCTTGAACTTTGAATTTCCCAAATCATTTTCAATTAACCTTGCTCTCTCCACTAACACATAAAAGTTACTTATCTTAAAAGGCACTGGAGGGTGTCTTAATTCATCCTTCAATCCTATTAGAAAATGATAACACTTCTCATATATAGTTCTTATCAACTATGGAGCATATTCGACCAAAGCAGTAAATTCATATTAATACTACATAATTGTTATATCTCCCTACTCTAATCTCATAAATGCTTCTTGCATGTGTTGTATTGCTGATGATGGTATGAACTAATCTCTCAATGTAGTGGTATATTCCTCCCAAGAGATCCGTAAATTTAGTTTTACTTGAAAATTTCCTCTTTGTTTTTTACCACCATATCTCCGCTTCTCCTTAAAATAGGAAAATTGTTGTGGAACTTTCCTATTTTTGTATAGTGCTTGCTATCAAATATCTTTTCTATTCTTAATATAAATTTTCAAAAAATTGGGGTTTTATAGCTCCCTTGAATAATGGAAGATTCAACTTCTAAAACATCTATAGATGCTTATCATTCTCATTTTCTTTACTACATTCTTGTTTACTTTGTGCATTAATAATAAGTTAAGCTATTAGGCTTGCAAATTGCATCATACTAATAGAATTTACTAGGGCAACAATACCTTGTTTATTTGGCACTTCTTGATTATTGGGATTTATCTATTCACTTGTATAGTTCACTTGCTTGATCAATCAAATAATGACTCACCTATAATGCATGTACATTCAATCATATATGCAAAATAATGCACCTTAAATCATCCAAATCCTACGCAGCTCATAATCAATCCTACAACTCTGATTATAGTTCAATTCTACCAATAATAATTGCTTTAATACCATTATGTCACACCCTTACCCAACTTAACCTATAGCAATGGCAAGCTAACCTAGATTTGAGATTAACTTATTTGAGATGAACATAAAAATTCTACCCAAAATATAATTGGAAAGAATTGAATCATTTATCTTCTATTATCTTACAAGGGCTATTATTACCATTCAGTAATTATAAAGCCATAAAGAATAAATATAAATATACACCTTGCTTACTGTCAACTATGCACACAACTATCTTTAATATAGAAGAATCATAATATACACTAGTTATGAAGTTCATCAGAACATCATAATTACCTTAACAATGATGACTAAAAAATAATACAAAAAAGGAAAACATCTAAACTTGAGATCATGGTTAGCCTCACTCCATTGGATCCCTAATCAAACTAGAAATAATAAAACCAAATAATGAGTTGAAGGGCCTATATGTGACAAAAAACCTACAATTACAATAAATGTAAAGAAGCATAAATAATATGCATGTGATTATTTAGTTCCTGCTAGTAGAGACTTGTAAACAAATAATGATAATGAGCATGTGAAGAATTCATGTTCATGACTTTAATAGAAGAACACACATTGTTATGCTCGCATGAAATGACATATCATTTAACATGAATGCTAATAGTTATGTCGCAAGTTAAGCTTTATCAATTACATTGTTTCTCATATTCTTAAATATTACATTGTTCATAATCGTATCATGTTGTGTTTTTTTCTCTTAATATAAAATTATATCATTTATGTAATCATATCATTATTATTTTACTATATGCATTAATCATATAAATAACAAGTCATGTATATGCTAACATACATTTCTTATCTTATCATATCTCATCTTATTATATTTTAATCTTGATTCTTATAAGGTGTCTTTCTTAAAAGAGTTGTCACTCTTGCCCATAAGCATCCATAATCTTAATATTCTTATAAATCTCAAAGCTTATAGCTCATGTAGGAATGCCAGTCGGCTTACCACTCATGTACAACATATCCTTCTCCATCCAACCTTAGACATTAACACATGTATATCTTATACTTTAAGTGCTTGGGGTATGCATGTAAATGATTACTCTAAAATGTATTTCCTATTCACTAAATGCTTATTACATTGACATAAAGTTTATTATATATGCCCAATAATTCTAAAGAAATTTACCGCACTTGTTATAGTCATTTTATGTGTGGCTTTTTCCAACTCATTTTTATACAGAAAGTCTTCTCTCCCTCTTCTCTTCTTCTCCTTCCTGGCCAAACAATTGAAATAGGGGAGGGGATGGTTTGGGTGTAATTAATATTAGGGTAGTAGATTAAGATATATATATATTCAAATAAAGTGATACAACGCTAAAGAAACCAGTACCATAATGCTCGACCTTAATTCTCCAAACCCGAGAGCTTAGCCCCGCAATGCCAACTCGCATAACCATTGCGTGGACACCAAAACTTCTTAATACAAAGATGTTGTGTTGCTGATCTCGAAAGCACTCCTATAAAAAATTTATATTTTTAAAACTTCAATTAAGTTCAATTCATTTCATAATCAATTCATTCATGGATCTTTAATATAAGTTTAACTTGGTCATTGCAAAGTGGAAGTATGCTTATAAGGACAATTAAGATGTATGTAATTCCTCTATCTATCTTAACCATATGCAAGAAGATCTAATGGAAGTATATTTAAAAGTAGGGTTGTAATGCAAAATGAAATATATGTAATTCATCCATCTATCTTGGACAAATATTAGATGATCATGTGGAGATATAAGTGGAAGTGGAGATATAATGAGACATTGAAAACTGTTAATGTCATGTTATGTTGTTCATGTTCAAATAGCATGTTCAGCAAAATATTTATATTATATAGTCATGTTTATGTGATGTTGTGAAATTTTATCACTATCTTGAAGTCCTGTTCAAGTGATATTTACATTGTTACGATTGTATATGCATATCTATAACATCCGTTTAATACTAGTATAAAGTTGTTAAATACATCGTGCTATACAAATATTACGATGATCTACTTTTAAAAATGAGATGTTGCTCATGTATTGTAAATTAATATAATTGTTGCTCTTTATATAACGATGTTGAATTATATAGTAGCAAGTACTAGATGACCTAGTAAGTTGTGATTGCTCACTCTATATATTTGTAAATATCTTTAGAAAAAGGTAAAAACCCTAGGAGTAAAATAGGTTGATATATACTGTTGACCAAATTGAATCCTAGAACAATGTATGTTGGATATATGCATTCTTTTGTCAATTATGAGCATACTTATATTTTGATAAAAAGAAAAGTGAAATCATGATTAATGTATATTATTCCATTTGAAGGTTTGTTTGATGAATTCATGTTTTCATTTTATGTATATTGAATGATTATAGAATATCTTTTGTTGTGTATTGACAAAAATAAAGTAGGAAAAAAATTCTTCCAAACTAGGTCTTGGAAAATCATAAGTCCACTGTCATGACCTTGATACGATGTGACATGTCTGGATGTAACGGGTTGTGTTGGGTTAGTTATGACACAATGACCAACAACAGTTGATGACAGTCAGTGGTGGTAGCCGGCTGGAGGCAAGTAACAGGGTGATGGTAGCAATCAATGGTGGTAGCGACACCAACTGTAGCTAGCGGCTGGTGCTGGATGGCTACAATGCTTTTAGTTTGTAATAAAAAAAAAGAATTTATTTAAAACTGGGTGAGTTTACAATAGATCAAAAATAACTAGAGAGAAAAAATTTCATTAAAATTTCATCAAACCAAAAACCAAAATTTTAAGTACTTTACATTATTTTATATTTGAAATACATTACATTATTTTTAGCAAATAAAATAACCCCATATTCAAATGAATTAACCTAAGATCACCTTCTATTCGGGTTTAGAAAGAACTAGTTACTTTTTTTGTTGTGCCACTCAAAATCATTGCTCTTTTGAAGAATGGCCGACTTTCATGATTCTCCGCTTAGTGTGTTTGATTAATATTTCTACTGATACTGTTTTATTATTCGCTGCGTTACTTTGATTATGATGGTTTTGCTTTGTTTAGAGTTTGGATTTAATTCCAGCAAGTCTCATCCACCTCTTTTTCTCCACCTCTCCTCTTGATATCCTCAGAGACTCGCCTCCCGCTTGTAGTTTCTCTTCCATCGGTAGTGTGAGGGGGGAAAGCGGCAGGGGCTTTGAATGAATGGGAACGGATAGTGTTGAGTGCGTCTCATTGGTGGATGGGATGGAGGAGGACGAGGCGACGCATACCTACAAACACCAACCCTTCTGTAAGAATTTTGGAAGTGGGGGTATTGGCCATGGCTGGGGCATGGCGAGGCCTAGGATGCCAATCGTGATCAGTGTGAACGAGCTGCTCGAATGTCCTGTCTGCACCAATTCGATGTACCCCCCGATTCACCAGGTAGGTGATCGATGGTGTGTTGTTCTAGATTTTGAATCTTGCGATTTTTGTGGGAGTTGATTCATCGGTTTTGTTTCTAGGTCGGCCTGAAATTAAATAGCATCCTTTATTTTTTCATTAATTACAAAAAAAAAGCGCTGGACGAACTTCTTTAACTCAATAATTTCTGTTTGTTCTCAATTGACATCGAACTTGTTTTAAAGGTTTTATATCTTTCTCTTTCAAACTTGTTTTCTCTTATGAGGGGTGGGGGAGGTTGAGGGATTTTGGGGGTCTGGTGTGATTCCATGAACCGCAAGTTTATCTCTGATCAATTTGATGGATTAAGAATTCGGTCAAGCTTGTTTGAGTAATTTGATAGATTAATAATTCTTGCTCTTTGTTTGTCGACCAATATATTTTCTTAAAGCAATAAAATGAAAATTATATTGAAAACTGAAAAAAATATACAAAAAGGTTGAATTTTTCAACATAAAACTGATGACTTGCTTATGTATCTTCAATTGAATGTTCCAATTGAACAATCAGACCTCACCTGGTTCAAAGAAAGAAAATGACAAAGAATAAATGGAAAAAAAAAAAAATCAAACTGAAGGTTATCAAAAATTAAGTAGCCATGAAAAAAGATCATTAACGATAGATCGAAAGACAAATGTTCCAATTTGAAATTTTTATAAGAAATAAAGCAGCAACTAAAAGAAATATTCAGCCACATTCACTTGAAGAAAGGATTCCAACCAACTCTGGCAGTCTACTAAAATAAAAAGCTACCAGCAAGCATCTGAAATAAAATCATAATGTATGCCAATGAGCACAAACGAAGAAACTGATAAACGATATGTAATATGTGATAAGTGGAAAGTATAGATTATGCAAAAAGTATTCTGCTCCATTACTATAATGCAGGTTTAGCTTTTTCAGAACATTTTCATCATGCTCGTTTATGTTTTGAGCATTGTAATTATAGCCATTGATGCATAACTAAAACAGCTGTGTTCTAAATACTTTTTACGTATATATATGTGATACTATAACGTGTAATGTGTTATGGAAATGTAATTCAAATTAACTGTTTGCCCTTTGCTCTATTTTCTGCACTTTCTTCATATCATACAGCACTGCATTATTGCCTCTGAAATTCAACATGGTATCAGAGCCATTCCGGTATCAACAGTTTTATTTATTTTTTCTATTCTATTTTGGTTCTATAATCCCTTCTACTTTGTTTATGATCTCAGATGGATCAGGCAACTGCAGATTCTAACTCTTCTATTTCCCTTTCCTCATCACGTCAACTAAACAATTCCCCCATCCAAGCTCAACTCAAATTTCTTATGTGCAATGTTAAATATGTGATCAGTGTTCAGTCAACCACTTATAATCATCCGATTTGGTGCTCACAGATTCTTAAACTTTTTACCGCTAATGGTTTTGAGGATTTTTTAGCTGGAACATCCATTAAACCATCCAAACAACTTCTCAATATTGATGGCATCATTAGTATTAATCCTCACTTTAATACTTGGATACTTATTGATCAAAATTTGGTTGCTGCTCTTTATTCCACAATAACACCTTCATTACTATCTTATGTTCTTAATTTAGACACATGACATGATATATGGGTAACCATTGAGCATCATTTGCAAATAGATATTGTAATTTACCACTGAAAAATGAACTTTATCAATTGCATATGTAAGACAACCATGATTCAATATCTCTCTGATATTAAACAAAAAGTGGATGCAATTGTTGCAGTGGGTTCTTCTATTGATCCTGAAGGCGTTATTCTCTTCACGCTAAATAGTTTACCAACCTCATACAATTCTTTAAATACTGCTATACGCACTAGACTTCATCTCATATACCACAAAGACTCTACCTTATTATATATTCTAGTTTATGTTGATGATATTTTACTTATTGGCAATAATTTTTCCACCATTGATTAGCTATTACAAAATATGCATCAGCAATTTCTTATGCATAATCTGGGCTCTGTTACATATTTCTTGGGCATCCAAGTGCTTCATATCCCCACTGATCTACATTTAAGTCAACCTCGATATACATTGGAGCTACTTGACAAAGCTGGCATGTGAGATTGTAAGCCAGTTCAAAGTCCACTTCCTTCTAAACTTCAGGAACCCAATTCTGATTCAACACTTTTCCTTCAGCCCAAGCTCTACAGGCAGTTTGTTGGTTCCCTACAATATTTAACAATCACTCGGTCATATATAGTGTTTGCTGTAAATTATCTCTGTCAACACATGTATAAGCCTTTTGCTGTTCATTTTCAGCAACTAAAATGTATTTTGTGTTACTAATGTGGCACACTATCATATGGGCTTCCAATTATTAGGGCACCATTTGACTTGAAAGTTTATTTAGATTCTGATTAGGTTGCTGATAAAATTGATCGCCGCTCAATTACCTGCTTTTGTGCCTATCTTGATGAGACTTTGGTCTCCTAGTGTGTAAAAAAATAAGTGATGTGAAACATACAAGCGACAAGAGTTGTTTTTGAAAATTAATAATAGGTTGAACATTAACTTTGCTAGTTAAAAACTTATGTTTCACCAAGTCAATTTCTTAGAAATTTTCCGTTAGAAGATTAAGTAATAACAAGCGATTACAATGAGAATAACAAGGCAATTGCAAATAACAACGAAAACAATATAGTAAGGCTAATAGCAACGAAACAAAAATTCATGGCGTAACATCATGAAGTGTTCACCATGAGTTCCTTCTCACTTGATCTTGAAGTTGGGGCTTAGCAGAGGAACGGTAGAAGAAACCCTAATGATGCCACCACGAGATAAGTGGCGTGTAAGGTCTTGTTCGCCGGAGAAGTGGCCAGAGGAGGAGAGGTTTTTGATCGGTCAACGAGGTGCCAGTGTCCCTTGGGTCGTTGATCTTCAATCGGCGAGGCGAGGCAATAAATTATGCGGTTGACATAGCTTTCCACAGAATCTTCGTAATCCCAATCCGGATCGTAGAAAGGAGAGAGCAAGATATCGATTTCTCCTTGAGCGTTGTAGGCGAATCTGCGGTCGACCTCAGGGTCGTCCATGCACCGATGGGAGAAGGGAAGGAGGTGTTTGTCTTCTTTCCTTGGGTCCAAAGCTCATGAGAGATCTATGTTTTTCGAGAGGGAGGAGGGGAGATGAAGGGGGCAGTCAAGGAGGGAGGGAGTGGCTTGTGTGGGTTAAGTTAGGTTAGGGTTTGGAGAGAGAGTTTCAAAAAATCTGAAATTAATTTCAGATTTAAATAAATTTGGAGGGAATTGAATTTGAAAAATTGAATTCAAATTCAATTATGATTTAGGGCCTGAATAGGAAAACAATGGGGAAGCCCATTAATGGTGGCCGACGGCTTTATGAGAGGAGGGAGAGGATTGGTGAGGTTTTTAAAACTTCCATACAAGCCTTTGCAAATTAGGAAAGAGAACAATAAATCCTCTCTAAATTAAATTTAGTTTGGATTTAAATTTAAAAACTTTCCTTATTTAGAATTTGCAAATATGGAAAGTTTTTGAAATTCAAAGTTGAATTTCAAATAATTTTAACACCTTCCTTTCTTGCTTGAGCCAATTTAGGGAGTCATTAAGATGATTGGAATCACCATAATGAGGGGGAGAAAGGGTGTGGCCGGCGGCAAGGGAAAGAGGGAAGGGAGTGGGCATCGGGTTGGGGGTGGGGAAAGGGTTGAGCCGACCGGTGGGATTTTGGGAGTGGAGTTGAGTTGGGTTTAGGGGAGGGATTTTGAAGGTATGTCGGTAGTGGAAGGGAAAGGAGAAGCCGACGGGTGGGGAAGAAGAAAAGAGAAAGGAAAATAAACCATGAGCCATGGACTATTCCAATGATTGGTGGGTATTATGCTCGCACTCACTTCGGACTCCCTCTTATCTCTAGTGCACACAAGAAGAAAACAAACAACAAATTTCATTCAAAGCATAAGACCACTATATATAGGTCTAAAAAATAAAGAAAAGAAAATCACTAAAATGCCCTCTGGGCTACAATAAGAAAACACTCCCCATAGGGGTAAACTAGGAAAACTGAAATGCAAATATAAAATACATCAAAAGTAAAGACTATGAATCGTAGCCGTCGATCTATGATTTCATCATCGGTACACATGTCTGAATCTCTGAATGATGTCCTCATCAACAAGTTGTTATCAGATCTTCTAGTGAAGTTGAATACAAAGATTTAGCTACTGCTGCAAGTGACATTATGTGGTTAAGGTGATTGCTCAATAATTTTCACATTCCTATCACTCAACGTACTCCATTATTTTGTGACAACATCTCAACTCTTGCCTTAGCAAATAATCCAATATTTCATACTTGTAGGAAGCATATTAAAATTGATTATCATTTCATTAAAGATTGCATTAACGCCAAACATATCTCAGTTCATCATATAGCCTCTCAAGACCGGCCTGCAAATATATTTACCAAGGCTATTTCCTCGTTTGGCTCAACTTCGTTACAAGTTAACAATTCAGGAACCCATTATTAACTTGAGGGGTGGTGATAAGTTGTGTGTAATTTGTGATAAGTGGAAAGCATAGGTTATGCAAAAAGTATTCTGCTCCATTACTATACTAAAGTTTTAGCTTTTTAGAAACTTTTTCATCATCACCGTTTATGTTCAGATCATTATAATTACATCCTTTGATGCATAACTAACTTAGCTGTATTCTAAATGCCTTTTTCATATATATCTGTGATACTGTAACTTGCAATATGTTATGGAAATGTAATTCAAATTCATTGTTTGCTCTTTGCTCTGTTTTCTGCACTTTCTTCATATCATACAGCACCGCATTACTTCCTCTGAAATTCAACAGAAACAACCCAGAAATCAGTCTAATCAGTTTAAACCATCGCATCTAATTAATAGTAATTACAAATAATACAATTGTAAAATTAATTGAAAATAGTGGGTAAAAAGCCAAAGCTTGAATTACATTTGTAATTACTATTGATA